TGTGAAACCGCTGGGGCCTGGGAGGCAAGGCAGCTCCAAATCGGGTCAAGGCACGCAAGTGGGCCCATCTAAAGGGTGTACCCGTTAATTAAATGAGTTAATGTTTGTTGAAAAGCAGTGGTTGCTTGGAGTTATATGTCCACTGCCTAGATAAGGGGATTCAGGAACCGGGGAAAGGAAAAGGGGGTGGTTGGGATTAAAGAATGGATGTAAATACCCCCCATTCTTCCACTTAAGGTGGGGGCCATTTTGAGTGCCTCATGTTTAAATGGGTGTTTGGCAGATGCCAGGCCTCCCTTTCGTTGCTGCAGCATTTGCTGGCACGCCGCGCCACGCCGGATGCGCTGCACGTGGGCTCCGCGGCCAACGCGCTGCGCCGGGCGCAGGGGTTCGGCGCCGCGCTGCGTCTGCTGGAGGCGATGAAGGCCACGTGGGCCGCTGAAATGGGCGACGTGCGCCAAATGGAGGAGGTGTGGAGCCCCAAATGTTTGCAGGCCGGACACGGTGTGCTGGCATGCATGAAGCCGGAAGGTATTACCACTGAAGACTTTGTGCAGGAGCTGGCGGAAGACTTGCAGGAACAGCTTGGGATTGTATCAAGGTTGGATCAGCCAACATCTGGGGCCTTGATGGTGGCGCGTGGGCACAAGGGCTCCACTGCCGCCAATTGGCTGCAAGCGCAATTCGCCAGCCGACTGGTGGACAAGAAATACCTGTGCCTTTGTGAGGGCCCAGTTTTAGGCCAGGCGGGGGCAACGGGGGCGATCTCGGCGGCGCTGTGCACCGATGAAGCTGTGACGGTGGTTTCCCCAGAGGGCCGGGAGGCTTTGACGCTTTACAATGTGCTGGCGACGTATGCGCCGCCGAGCTCGGGCCAGTTGACCCTATTGGAGGTGAAGCCGGTGACTGGCCGAACTCATCAGATCAGAGTTCACTTGGCGCACCTGGGGCGTCCGCTGGTGGGCGACTTGACTTATGGCAAGCGGGACTCCGCTTGGCCCTGTGGGCGGCTTTTCCTGCACTGCCGGCGAGTGCGTTTGCGGGACCTCGCTGGCCGGGAGTTTTGTGCAGTGGCCAGCTTGCCTGCGAGCCTCAGGCAGGTGTTGGATGAACTCAAGCCCTTTCTTCAGGCTTAGTTTTGGAATGTGTCAGAACTTGCATCCCTGGCAAACCTGTGGTTTCATGTTGTGTTTTGTGCAACTGCCCCCTTTTGAGGGTTTCAACAGCCAACAGGCTCCTGGGTTTGACACATTTGAGACGCCTCTCGGTCTCGCCGCGAGCCTTTCCAGAGGGCCAAAATGGCGTCGCTTGGGTTGGTCCATGTCGCCATTCAACTCTTGCATTTAATTGAGCCATCCCCATCGGAATTGGTAAGGGGAAGCTTGCAGTTCCATGCCCTCCATTCTGAGGGAGAATGGAATACTTCGCACCTGCTTGTACTGCTTGGCCGGTGTAGTATTGCCGGGTAAAGTTGCCTCCCCCCACACACGAAATAGCGATTTTAGTATCCTTCCTACCTTTTCTTGTCAGGTCCGGAGCATAATTTCGCCAGTAACCTTTCCGCAATCCCATTTGCAAGTCCCCGCCCATCAGCGTTGCCAGTCTCTTTGAATTCGAGCCTTAAGGGTGCCTCCGTAGCCAGGAGGGCTGCCCGCCCAGTTGGGACAGGCCCGGCCCTGTGAAGCAATAGGCTTGCTTGATGAACCCACGCCATGGGGCCAAATGTGCTTGGACATCACAGAAAGCTTATGATGCATCCGTAGCCGGTGATTCATGCACGGGTTCAACGGTGGCTTGTTGCGAGGCTACCGAAGGCAGCTACCTGCTGCTTGGCAGGCAGCCTTAGCCGAAGTGCCGGGGCCTGATGCCTTTGCTTTTCAGCTTCAGGTGGTTGAGTTACAGGACCTCTGAGAAGGCCCTTTGTGCAGGGAACGGCTGTCATGAAAGCTGACTTGCTGGATGTTCTTCTGCATGTTTCATCATGGCCACGAGGGCATTGGACGGCGCAGTATTCCCCACCAGTCTACAGTTGAATTCGGCAAGACAGGGGACCACCTAAAACCATTTGTTGCCCAATGTGTTTTCTACCCGCCTTCGCATGGGGATCTTGCAAGGACCTGCGGCAATGCTGGCGAACCAGTCGGGCGTGGCAGCACCGCTTGCGGCTTTCTTTCATGGACCGGCAGTCCTACTTGCATCGGCATTTCCGGTGGTTTCAACGGGTGTTTTCGAAGCTTGAGGACCCCTTCCTTTGTGGTCAAAGCTAGCTAATGTATGTGAACCTTCTTTGGAATCTGTGTGCAATATGGTGATGAGCTTGTTTCGAGCAAGCATTCATGTGATTGGGCTGTCCAAATTTGCGGGCCTGACTCGGTTTGTGTTTCTTTTCCACCGGGCAAAGTTCCTGCACTTCTGCAGGCAAGCCTTTTGACGGCACGAGAGAGCGATAATTTCTTTGGGCCCAATTCTATCAAACGACCATTTTGTGGAAGTCTTGGACCAAATCTCCACATCCTTCAATTGCTGACGGAACCACCATGCCTAGGGGCAGGGTCAAACCGGGACCCGTTGGTTTGTCAGACAAACCTTAGTCGGTGTTTTGGATTGGTGGTTTTGGGGATTTGAACCACTGACTGTTGTTGACACCCGGTGGGAAGGACATTCCCCAACCCGGTGGGAAGGACATTCCCCAAATTCCAAAGCCACATATCCAAGCCACCAAGTAAGAGTGAGCTGATTCGCCTTACCCCTTGTCAGTTTGGCTTGCAGGTTTGGAGGTTATTTACTCCAAACCAACTTTAGTCTTCAAGAACGTTCAAAGCGACCATTTTTCAATCCCCAAGTTGTGGGACAAAATGTTTAGTGAGCTGGGGAACGACGTTGGGAGGGCCCCATTCCAAGCCTTCGAACAAAGCCTCGGCGCGACCGCAGGAGGAGCTGTGGGCCAGAGACGTGGGAGCGCAGCGCGCCGCCTCGTGGAAGGTGAAGGGCTAAGCTGAGACATCAACGCCAATCGGTGTTAAAAATGTGGGTCGGTGTGCCTCAATAAAATTGGACTTGGGGCCCCCAAGCATCTTGATACCAACCCAGAAAAAGATGCCCTCCAAAAAAGGCACACCCAGCTCCATTTTTTGGATACCAACGCAGAATACAATACCCTCCAAAAAAGGCGCACGCACAGCCGGGATACACAAGCAAAGTATCAATCCTTAAATTTACCAATCGGTTTCAAGCACCATGTATCAAAATGGTCAACCCAAACACATGTTAGAATCTAGAGGGCAGAAACCCGCACCTTCTCACTGGGACTGGCCCTACCTGGGCTTTGATTCTGTCTCAGCTGGAGACAGGTGAATTTTCGAACGGGCGGCGCCCAAGGTGCTGCCTTTGTAAGTATCTGGATCCCAAAAAGGACTAGTATCAGACCATGGTTTGCCCGCTCTGTATACAAACATTTCAGGAAGCATCACGAAATGCATCGGATGTGTGTCCCCAAGAGTGGTGCGATGACTTAGGACATTCGCGTGTTTATGCGTGTTGCCAAACGGTCCTGAGCGCTCCGGCTTTGCGGAATTCAGGCCATGCTCCTGGATGGGTACCGGGCCAAGAGATGCCAAGAATCTGGATGTGGATTGGTCCTTATGGTGGAAACTCCATCCGTGCAGCATTTCCAGGCATACATATCCCAACGCAAAGCATATCCAAACGGCACCGTCGACTTATCAGCGCGTGGCGGAAGTATTGAAGGCAACCGGCCCTTGATAATTTTGGGCTTTTCCCGGCTGCCAAAGTCAGAGGTCCTGCTGTTGCCTACGTACATGCCACTTGGGCCAGTCCAGAATACCCTGTCACTCCTCGAGTACTTCAATTGATGAGTTGCAGTTCTGGATCCTGATCACTTTCAGGGATGGCACCACGTGGGCCGGCCGATTCACCATTGGTTCTCACCGGTGGGATGGCCGTGTCAGTGCCAGGGGTCTTGTCAGAGACAGGTTGAAACGGAAGACTCCCTGGTTTGCCCACGCCCCGGCTCAACAAGTCGCCAAGGTTGAGCCCACAGGCCGCAAGAGAGACAGAGAGATGGAGAGTTGGCCACGTGGGAATTGGTAAGGTTCCTCAATCTCGTCGCTTCGAATCTTGGCTTCAATCATCCCTCCCGTCCAAAATCATGAAGACTGGAGGTTTGAAACACGCTGTTCCTCTAAAGGAACCCATGCATTGGTGGGTTTCATGTCAGTGGGCGGGAGAGTTTGATCCCTTGCTGATTCTTAGTAGGCGGTCAAGGAAACCGCAAGGGATGGTTTCTCGCAAATCCCCCAATATCCCGCATTCCCCACGGAGAGCAAAGAAGCTTGGATGCTTCCGATCGCAGGTCCTGGCCAAAGATTCGGTGTGCAATTTTCTCCAAGCGCCTTGCCCATACGATGCTGCCCGCGCCTCGGCCTCTCGGTCCAGCCGCCCGCAAAACGACCCAACATGTTCCAAAAGACTCAGGTTGTACATGGACATAGCCCGGGATGGGGTCATTTTTCTGTAACTGTAATCACGGGGTTAAAGACCCTTGTAGAGTTCTTGACCTACAGAAAAGTGGTCTTGACTGATCTGCACTGTAAATGCCCCCCCAGGAGATGCCTCTAAAACTTGTCTTTTTGGTTGGGTGTCAGTGGCACCCTCTAAATCCTCTTTCGCATGGTGCGACCTAAGCCAGCTCAAGCCGACCAATCCCAACAAGAAAATACAAGAAATGACATGGTCCCATTCCGGAGGTGGGGGTTCTGCCCTTTTTCTCGCTGCCTGGCCCAGGTCATCGGCCGTGACCTGGCCCGGACCTTGCCACAGGAGCCGCTGTTTCGACAGCGCAACGGTCTGGCCCTCGAAGCGAACTGCTTGCGGCCTGCACCGGCTTTCAGGCTCCCAAGGGTATCAGCCAGTCAGAACCTCCCAATACCAGCTGATTCAGGAAGGGATCCGGTTTCTGGTAAAGTGGGGCAATTGTTGGATGCATCCTGCTGTTTCACCCCGGTTTCGGCGCGTGCTTGGGAGGACGTTTTCACGCCATCCAGTAAAGAAGGAGGTTTGGCTGCATTCCTAGCTGAGGCAAGGGGCAGATGATGCTGTTTCGCATCTTGAGGGCGCTGGCGGTGCCGGGTCCTCAGCACTTTGACACCCTGACGGCTGAACTTTCCATCGCCACATCACGCTCCCAGGAATTTGTGGGACATCGGGTATGTCCAAAGTCTCAACTTCGTCGTTGCGACCTTGATCGTCGCAGGGCGCCCAGGGAGGGGCAGGACATTTGTTGATCGGGGTGATCGAAGGGTGTGTGTCCCATTTTCCAGGCATCCAGATCACTTTTGGCAGGAACCGTTCCTAATAATCCAACAGGGCCCACTTGGATCGTGGCTCATTCCTCACTTCAGGTTCTTGCTGAAGAGCAGGAGGCAAGGCGGCGCGCAGCGGCATGAAAGACACCGCTCGAATGCCGCGTTTCCCACGTGAGGTTGAGTCCGAATTTCGAGTAGTGCATATGGTCGATTTGGAAGGGACATGCGGGACCCAGTGCATTTCCTGCCGAAAACAGCGTAACTTTCTGATTTTTCGAGATCCGTTGCGGAAATTGTAGTTTGACTGTTTCTCGCATGCGAGGATGTGATTTTGCACTGCGCGCAAGCGCTGCTTTTCCGTCCGTGCCTCAAAGCTTTTAGTGTCAAAACACTCCGCCCCCCTTGGTGACCCCGCCGAACCATAACTACCATGCCGTAGACACACTCTTGTGGTGGGAGCAGTTTTACGATGTGGTTGGTTGGGGGTGCAGCAGATGAATCTTGTGCCCAAGGCCACTCGCTGGCTGACTTCTACAGGCGCGACGCTGGTTTGCTTTTGCTGGGTGATGTTTCAAGAGAACATGTAAGGAACTCTGCAGTCGAACTGCCAATCAGCGCAGGCCGCGGTTTCCGAAATTGGGTGTGACGGCAGGTGCCTCAGACCCGACTCACTTCTTCAGCCAGCCGGATCATAGGTGTCGTCGCATATAAGAAGAGACTAGGCAAGGCTGTGGATTTTTCCCGCCCCCATGCCTTCTTTTCCAGTCCCTTCTCTTGCTTTCGTTGTCTCCAAATGATGGCACCTCTGAAATTGCTGGTTCCCCCCTTTCGTTTGCCTGCTCCACTGTCTCAACCAAAAAGGAGACCCTCCCAAACTCCTTGAAAACCAGACACGTAGTCCCCGAGAGCCCCATGGCTGCGCATGGCTCGAGGTGTGGCAGTTCGATCGCATGGTGGAGGCCTTTCTGCCAGACGTCCACGCAGCTGCTCGGACGAAATGACATGTGAGCTTCGGTCGAGCAGATCCAGTCCGTGGTCGGTCCATTTCGGGACATGGTGGGACTCACTAATCCGACTCGACCATTTGCCTATGTGCTCTGGGGGCACAGTAGTTTTGCCGATGAGCAACGGACGCCGCCAGTATGCATCGGTTTTGGGTGGGCCCCTATCGACTTTGCAGGTTGAGGGTGGTACACATTGCTTTTAAAGAAACGTGCGATTCCTTGGTTTTCCCTGTTAGAACCAACTGCAAAAGGATACCTGTCTCGTCTTGAGGGTAGCCTACACGATTTGGTCGTTTGACAAGTGAACGCAAAACGGGAAAGCACCCCTGTTGAAAAGGTTGCGTAGATTTGAGACAACCCATAGCCACCCTCCTGAACATTGACGTGGAACTCGCAAAAGCCCTGAATCATTGGATCTCCTTTTGGCGGAACCAAATCCCGATGAGATGCGTTGTTCAAGATCTGCGCGATCGCCACTTGAGGTTCTGCAAGTGCATGGCGTCACATCTGAGTACTACGCCATGCAGTGGCCAGATGCCCAAACGTGCAGTACGAGCAGACATGGCTTTTTCTTCCCTGAAGCAACCAAGGGGAAGTGTCATGACTTGCATATGTGTTGTTTTAAGCAAGCAGGTGGCCATCCTCCGTGGAGATGCAACCGTCGCACATGGTTCCTTTCGGGGAAAACCGGCCTCAATGTTGCCCCTCCAAATCCTTGATTTCCTGCTGCTCGCTTTGCAAGTTCTAGACACCTTGAAGCACAAGGGTGCAGGCAAAGTTGCAACTAGCAGCTAGCTAGCAGTACCCGAAGGACTCCAATGTGAAGGAGGCATCTCCCTAATTAGTTTTCAGCCGGCAGCGTTCCCTCGGCTTGCGGGAGGTTTCTCACGCTCTACGCCAGCGACCTGCCGCAGCCCACCGTCCAACGCATCTGGGCCCGGGCCCAAACCACTTGGCGGTGTCAACCTTGGAATTCGGAGGCCACAATAATGAGAGGAATTTCTCTAAGACGACTTGATTTCCTCCGCTGTAAAGGAACAACTTTGAAGATCGGTCAGTTGACTTGCGTTCTAAGATTGCCGAACAAAGGTGTCAAGAAATCAGAGGATGCCCATGATGCCAGCATTGACACAGCAGACGGCATGGAAGGCTCGCGTGTGAGAGACCTGGGGACCAGGATCTATCGCCTGAGGACAGATTTCTCTTGGTGGGCTGGCAGGTGATCGTGCAGGAGGGGGCAGCGTGGTCGTTTGGGCCATGTGTCAACAGGAACCTCTTGCCGCCGGTGTCATGTTGGTGCCCTTCAAAAGTGCTCCCAGCCTTCGGACCGCCAGGTTGGCCTGGCCTTGTTGAAGCAGGTTGCAGATGCCGGAGCCTTCAGAACCTGTGCCGAGAATGTCTCAGAGCCTCGTGCTGTTGAAGAATAACACCCTGGATGGGGGAATCCGTGTTTCCCTGGATCGCACCGAACAAAAAATCATAAAACTTCCCGAATTCATCAGCCAGAGGCGAACCGTCAGTTCTGGTGAGTGGGGGCGGGGATGGCCGAAACGCAATCCAAATGAGGGGCGACCATTATCACTCTCTTGCTTTTTTGTTGGTATCTTCCATGTTTCAGCAGAGGTGCTGCAGTCCCTTGACAGCTGTGAGACCTTGACCTTCCTGAAGAAGTTTGTGCCACAGCCTCATGTCAGGAGCAATGGACCCGAGTCACTTCCCTTTTGGTGGGTTTTAGCATCACCTTGTTGTTCAGTTTAAGGTGAGTTTCCCTTGGTAGAGGTGATTATTTAAGGGGAACCTTACGAGGCAGCGAGGCGGACATCCTGTTTGGGTCTTGTGGATAAGACTAACCACTATTAAAACCCAGGAAGTAGTTTGCCAAGGAATTGGTCACAACCGTGTATATGTACAGGGGCGTCCGCCCTCTTGATTCTTTCCATGTTTTTGGGCGGCCATGTGAATATTGCCAGGTCTTGAACGTCACCCAGACGCCACGCCAAATTTCAGAGCCAATGAATGTTCATTCCAACTGTCTGGGTATGTTATTTGACTTTTCATGTTGTGCACGCCCTCATCACAACTGAGTGTGTGTTTGTTGAGGGCACCTCTTCAAAAAATAAATCCAAAAGGAAACCCCGTCATGATGTTGGGGGTTACCACATTTTGACACGCACCCTTTTGGGTATGCGCGTCGAACATGGTTGGACATAAATTCAGCAAGAGTCCATGGGACATGATGGGCTTTTTGACTCCTTGGCTTGCGTCCGGAGGGGATTAGAATGAACCAATGAACCAAACCCGGCCACCAACAAGACGCGATGGCTTGGTGCAGGGTTATTTCCACGCCTCTTCGCATGCACGCTGTGCTCCCCCTACGATGAAATCAGTGGCTTTGGCTGCTTGGGGCGAAGCTGGGCGGCTTGCAGGCGCATGCGAAGGATCGAGCCGGGTGCTTGGGATGCTTTGGCAGGTTTGCTGCGAGATGGACTGAAGGACCAGTCCGGGCAGATGAAGGGCAGGCAAGAGGTTGGTGAGGGGTAGGTGAGGAGCAGAAAAGGGGAGGCCACTTTTGAAGAGCTACAAGTTGCTTGCAACTCTCTGGCATGCTCGTTCCTCCAAAATTGCTGCGGATAGGCAACTTGGATTCTTGAGCAAGGGGTGTCCTTTGTGGTTCAAGGCCTGAAGTGCTTTTGACCTATGCCACGCAATTTGAAGTGAGGGCCTCAGTGGCAGAGGCATGCAGAGGCCCAAGGGCAGGTGAGTGTCGAAGGTTTGGGGTATTTCACCACGTGTTCTGTGGTAAAAAGACCGGGGTGGTTATAGGATCCTTTGGGGGTATGGCCCGCGTGAGGATTCGGCTTAAAGGGACCAGGGCCATGGCCAACACAAGGACTTGCTACTGCAGCACATGTCATGGCAGAATGCTAGGAAAGCTCATCAGGAGGGACCTAGCATGCTGCTCCCTCCCGAGAAAGGGCATCAAGAGCCCTTCTAAGAATCCCTTCGCTTTGGGAAAGTTCTGTATGAGCTATGCCCGATCCATTAGATTGTCGCACGCCACAGCAGCCTCGCCAAAGGGTGACCTTGGAATTTCCTTTGTGGTCCCACTTTCCCGGCCAGGTTCCTTCTCCTCCCCCAGCTGAAAAAGGATACCACCGCGAGTTGACCATGACTCTATATGGTCGGAGTACCCCCAGTAGTGGTTGAAGCAGATAAATCAAACCACGTCCCTGAATGACGTCCGGCGAAGGATTCAACCAATTAACAACCATTCCTCCGAAATGGCGGTTTGTCTTTCTTGGTTTCCCTTTCACAACGGTGCCCTCCAAGGACACAGTCATGGGAACCAGCTTCTGGAATTACCTGCCTAGCAGGAGCATTGCCAACCGCCAATCTGCCAGACACTGTTTCCTCGAACAAAAGAAACTCATTCTTAAACGCCCAAAAGCCGCCAAGCTGGCCGCACGCCCAAGTTGGCCGAACACCGACAATTTTCCAAAGACAAACCATTCTCCAAGCATGCAGAACAATTGGGGGGTTCTCAGCACCATGCGGGCAGCTTGCTTCAATGTGAACGCCACTCCCAGGTGTCCCACCGCATGCTCTCGGAGTTAGAGGCCGCCTATAGCCCGGGGTCCCAGATCTGGAGGGGAGCCTGCGCAGGCCCAAGCA